TAAAACGTTGTTGTGGTTTGTTAAGATAAAATTTTCAAATATCGTCTGCTACATGAGATCACAGAGTATTTAATCGGATTTGTTTTTTTTTACTCTATGGAAAAAAAATTTTTTTATATATGGAAAAACTTTTCTTTTTTTTTTTTTAATAGGCAAATTTAACGAACGAACAAACAAAGAAATAAAAAAAAAAAAAAAAGTTTTTTTTTTTGTTTGTTTGTTTTATACAAAATTCCAAATGTTTGTACGATTATTATGAAAAAAGCTCAACGTAATATTGATAAATACGCACGATGGCGTATGGCAAACATAAAAAATTGACAAAAAAAGAAAAAAAGTTTTTTATTTGTTATTATTAATTTGAGTTTTGAATTGAGGAGAGAGTGAGAGAGAGAGAAAGAGAGAAAGATAGAGTTAAAGAACGCATGTGCTTTGGGGAGACGACGACGCTTTGTGTTTGTGCTTTTTTTTTTTTTTTTTTATTTCCATTCGGGATTTGTATCGTCAGTTTTGTTTTCTGCTTTCTTCCACGTGGACCACGTAGTAGTTTAAATCGTAGACAAAAAAAAAATTTTATTTATACTTTATATTAAAAAAACTTTAATCCGTCCTCTTCGTCCGTCGTTATTATTTATTAAATTAAATTTTAATGTGAATTTTTTTTTTATGTTTACACACTCGAAAAGTGACGAAGACGACAAAAACGACGACGACGACGACGAAGACGACGATCGTCAAAATACGTAACAAATCGGATGTGAAATTTTCGGTTGTTGTTGTTTGTTATAAAAAAATTAAACCTTTTTTTGAAATTGTTTTTTAGTACGTCGTTTATTTATATTATTTGCTTTTGTGATGATGTTTTCATAACGTAATTTTTTTTGTGTTTGTTTGTCGTGGTTCAGGTTTTCTTCTTCTACCTCCTCCTTCCCTCCCTTTCCCCCTTCACCCTCTTCCTTCTATTTCCACGTATATAAATTAAAAGTTTATTAATAAATTTTTTCTTTTTTTTTTATTTATACTTCCGCCTCTTCGAAGAGTAAAAAAAAAAAAAAAAAAAAAAAAAGTTGTTGAACCAATAAATTCCTCGTCCTGTTTAGTTTGGCATTTATCCTAGAATTCTTCGGTTTTGGAAAACATCAAAAAGTGTTTTGGTTTCCCACAATTATTATTATTATTATTACGTATTTTTAATTTTGGAAAAAAAATGTTTTCATAACTATCTCTGTCATTATACCTTTATTTTTATTGTCCGATTATTATTATAATTTTTTCCTCCTGCGTTAAAATCTAAGCAAAATTCACCCTTCTTTCCCCTCCCCGTTTTCCCCATTTTCCTCGCCCCCCCCCCACATAGAAAAAAAATCCGTTAATGCGGTAAATCCGAAGACTCAAAAAAATTAAGTTAAATAAAAAAACATTTAAAACTTTTTTTTTTTGCTGGGAAAAAAAAAATGATATATAAATCACTGCCATTAACCTCGGGAGTATTTTAAAATTACCATTAAGTGTTCATAAATTAAAATAATAATAATAATAATAATAATAATAATAATAATAATAATAATTAGTGGCTTAGTGTCAGCAGTTAAGAAAAACCGAGAAGAAAAAGAAAATCTTTTTTTCGAGAGAGAAAGAAAGAGAAAAGTAGAGAGAGAGGATAGAAAATATTTATAAAAAAATTTTTTTCGCGTGAGTTTAACACAATAAAATAATAATAATAATAATAATAATGATAATAGTAAGAGTAATAGGAATACTGGAAGAAGGATTTAATGAAAAAAAAATTTAACTGGATGAATCGTAAAAATGATAAGTCAAAGTATTTCATGGAATGGGAGCCAACTTGATTAAAATAAGGCAGGTGAGTTCGTTATCAATAAAAATGAGTTTGATAAGAAATTTAAATTTGGTTAAACGTCATCATCATCATCATCATTTGTTCGTACGATAAATAAAATAAAATAAAAAAATCATGGATTCGATGTTTTAAAGGGAAACACCATTTTTCTTGTCCCACGTTAAATGAATCATTATGTTGTTAGTCACGCCGAAAAAAAAAGAAAAAAATTTCATAACGATTTATAGTTTTTTTTTTTTTGTGAAATTTAATTCCCGCCATTTTTATTTTCTAATTCACACGATTTTTTCGTCGCGCAATCGAGTAATTAAATTATTAATTAATTAATTAAATATGTATTTCAGTATTAGAATGGACACATTAATTAATTCAAATTTTTTTTTCATCATTATTATTATTATTATTATTATTTTATTCTCATACGTGGCAGGAGATTATTGTTTGTTTGTTTTTATATTCTTGCGACTTTGATTTTCTTTTCTTTTTAATGTTTTGTTTTTTTTCGCATATTTTTGTAACTTGTGGTTTATTATTATTAAAAATACATCGGGGTTTTATCTTTTTTCTCTTGCCACGAACTTTTGTTTTTTTTTTTTTTTAAATAAAATTTTAATGTTTGTGGGAATCAGGTAAAAGTTATAAAAATTTTTTATTAAAATAAAAATATTAATCGATCGTGGTAATAGATCGGTTATCGGTGTTATCGATTATCGTTTCTCCTGTTGTTGTTGTTGTTGTCGTTACTCTTTCCGCTGTCGTGTTTTTAAATAATTTATACGAGGAAAATTAAAACGTGGAAATAATCTATTCATGACTCGTCAAAGAAAAAATTTGCGTTACTGGAAAAGGGGGTGAAAAACAGAACATAATTTCCGGTTTAAAAAAAAGAAGCAAACAAACGTAAGGTAACGAAAAAATAATAATAATAATAATAATAATAATTTTTTGTTGTTGTGTTTTTCCACAGAGAGACGCAATACAGCGAGATGTTGACAGAGAAAGAAGATTGCGAACGGATACAGAATCACGCTTGCGTGAAACGGTTACTGAATCTGAACGTTACAGGGCAACATTGGCAGGTTTACAAAGGGAATTTTCCAAGTAAGTAAAAATCAAACAACCAAATTTGTCGATGTTCTGGTTGTTCTGTTGTTTGTTTGTTCATCATTGTTTTCTATTCAATTGTAAAAAAAATGAACATAAAAAAGGAAAAATGTAAAAAAGATTTATACGGTATTAAACAAACTGGGAGAGGGAGGGAATGAAGAGAGGGTTTTACGTCATTTTCTTTGTCTGTTGTTGTTGTTGTTACTTGAAAAAGGATTTACGAATTAGTCGAAGTAGTGAGAGAGAGATGGGGGGTGAGGAGAGAGGAGGAGGAGGGGGAAGAAACGAAAAACGAATCCGGAAACCTTAATTAATATATTAATAAAATATATGTATGCGTTTGGGATGAATGAATGAATGGTTTTTTTTTTTTTAAAATAAAAAGTCGTGTAAAAATTGTCTTGTACCACTTTGACGATTGTTTCAAACTTTAATTTTAACATAAAAACTTGAAATCAAAATTTTATTTTGTTGTTGTTTTGAAACATTTTCATGTTTGTATCTAAATATATGTTTTTAAAAAAAAAAAAAACTTTTTCCTTAACTTTTACTTTTCATCTTTTTCCGGTTTATGTTTTTAACTTTAACAGAAAGAGAGGGAGAAAGAGAGAGAGTGTGGAAAAGAGTGAGAGGGGGAAAAAGTTTATTTGTTATCACGTCCTTGTTTTTATCAGGCTAAAAACATTAATTTTATAAATATTAAAACAAAAAAAAAATGTCGTCTGCTAAATTTAAAAAAAAAAAAAGTATAAAATTTTTTTTTATTAAATTAAAAACTGTTTAGTGATCGTGTCATTAGAAAAATATACATTTTTTGCCTTTTTTTTTAGTTCGAACGATTTTTATTAAAATTCTTTCATCGAATCATTAAAATTTTTTTATTTTATTTTTTTCTTATCTTCTGCCACGATGTTTTTATTTTTATTTTTTTTCTCGTAATAAATTTTTTTATTTATTTAGTTTTTTCGTGATCGATTTTATTACATTATGAATATTATTATTATTATTTTCTTATGAAGTTCATGAAAATTTTTTTTTTCTTAAAGGAAGAGAAAGAAAGAAAGAAGGAAAAATGTCAAAAATGAAATTTAAACAAGGGAATAAAATGTAAAAACAAACAGTGGGGGAATGAAGGAGGGGGAAAAAAAACGACAACAACAAACGACGACGGAGGAGGGAGGAGGGGGGAGGGAAATGACAGAATATGATAATAATAACAATGATGAGTAGGCGAGGGAGTCAAATATTGATGAACAAACAAATTTAAAATAAAAATTATTATTATTATTATTATATTTTGTTTGAACAAAATATTTAAACAAAATGAGAGAAAATTTTCAATTTGTTTAACTAAAATTGTTTCAAAAATTTTTATTTTAAAAAGAATGTTTTGAAACATTTAAATTCAATAAAAGATTTCGCGAGAAAAAAACCCAACCTTTTATTATTATTATTATTATTCTTTTTCTTCTGACACGCTATGATATTTTTTTCATCGAACCACACACAAACACACAAACAAATTAATATTAAAATAAATTAATTAAAAAAAAAGAAAAAAAAAGAAGCAAAAAAAAAAAAATTAAATCGCGCCTAAAAAAAGATTTTTTAAGTTACGCTTCGTCTCATCTTTGTCTAGAAATAAAACTAAAAAAAAAATTTTGTTCTGGCAAATTCTATCCGAACGCCGAACACAAAAAAAAAAAAATGAAAAATAAAAATCCATATTTTATCCATATCCCGTTTATAAAAAAAAATTATTATTATTATTATTTGCAAAGGGTTAGAGAGGGTCAGGGAGGTGGAGAAAAAAAAAATCAAATTTTTTTTTTTCGGTCGTGGCATTAGAATTTCAACTTTTCGACAACAATCGTCATTTCCCCGGTTGTTTTAAAAATTTTTTTTTTTTTCTTTCACTTCTGATTTACGGCAAATGAAAATATTTTAATTTGCTGTCGTTTGAATTCTTTTACTCCGTTCTTTTAATTATTTTTATTATCATTATCATTATTATTATTATTATTATTTCAGAATGGAAGATACAGTGAGAACGATGTTACAGTACAAATCAAGATGTGAACTATTAAATCAAGAAAAAGTTTTTTTAACGGCTGCATACGAAGTGAGTAAAAACATTTTATTATTATTATTATTATTCACGATTTTTTTTTAACTAACGTAACAATCGTTAAACGAACAAACGGGAATTAAACGTTTGTTGTGGTTGTTTGATGATTGTAGAAATATTTATAATTTTTTTTTTAAAAAATCCGATTCGTCATTAAAACAAAAAAAATTCACCGGACGGGCGGTTCAATTCGATCGGTTCATTATAATAAGCCTAAAATGATCGTTATAATGACGTCATCATCACTATTCAAACCCTTTTCGTTTGGAGTATTTAAAAATTATTAGTTTAATTGATTAAATTTTCATCGCAGCTCCGTTTGTTGTTGCAACAAACGTTCAAAAAAAAAAAAAAAACAATTAACAAACGACAACAAAAAGGAAAAAGAATATGGAAAAAAAACAAACCACGAAAAACGTTCTAATTAACAAGTTAGTAGAAAATATTAAAAATGAAAATCCAACCAATTACGCAACATTGGAACCAGACAACACATCGGGTTGTTGAGTAAATCCTTTAGCTAAAGACACGATGAAAATTCATAAAACAAGAAGAAGGGTGAATGAGAAACAAAAAAAAAAAATTTATATATATATATATAACGTATAAGCGATGTATAGGGAAAAACGGTTATAAAAAGAAAGAGAGAGATAGATAGATAGAGAGAGAAAGAGAGAGAGAGAGTGAAAAAGGCATCGATTATTAGAACCCCTACCTAAGGGTAAGATTATAGGGTTGGAAGGAAAATCTCTTTGTCTTTTACCTTCAGCTTTTTTTTTTTATTTTTCCTTTGCGTTAAAAAAAAAATGATTTTGTTTGCTTTTTTTTTTAAAATTTTGTTGCTGTTGTTGTTGTTATCGTGGTGTTATTCTAATGACACGTCAAAAAAAAAAACAATTTTAAAATAACGACTCGTAATAAAAAATTTTTTTTTAGCAAAAAAAAAAAATAAACCGGAAATGTTTTGTTCGATGACATCGTTTCGTTATTTTGTTTTTTTTTTTTTTGTAATTTCTTGTAAATTTTTTCTTGTTGCTATTGTTGTTTTTGCTATTATTAAATGAAACTTAAAAAAAATAGTTTTTAAATAAGAGCAAAAAAAATTAATGAAATTTTTTTTTTTTACACACGCATTTATTTATTTATATAAATAATTTTAAAAAACTTTTAAGTAAGTTACAAAAAAAAAAAAAGGGAAAAGAAACTTTTTGAACCGTAGCAAAAAAAAAACAGGGAAACGTAAAAACGTAATTAAGATCCCTTTTTTTTGCTATAAATACTAAAATCCTAAATAAATATCCCCCAATGAAAAAAATTTTTTTTTTATTACTCTGATACATTATTGATTGCTACCGAAACAATAAAAAAAAATTCTTCTTTCCTTCTTTTCGACTTTTTATTTTCGTAAAAAAAAAAAAAAAAACTTTAAACGTCAGCAAAAAGAAAAAAGGAAAACTTTTTTTTTGCTAAAAATCATTTAAAAAAAAAATGCAATAGAAATTTTTTTCTTTTTTTCCTACTCGACTTATTTCATTATTATTAAAAAATCGATCGATTATAAATTAATCGTAGCAAAAAAAGTATTATTATTATTTTCATTTAAAAATTTGCTACCCGTAAGTAGAAAAACGTATGACGTAATTAAATAAATTTAAAACGTCGTATGATAATAACAAAGCACAGTATTCGAGAAGGTGGTGAAGGAATTATTATTTTTTTTTTTTAATTTTACGCTTTTAAATTTTTTTAATCATTATTATTATTATTATTATTATTATTATTATTCTTTCCTCCGTCATTTTATAGTCTATAAAATTATTCGTTCGTTGCGCTATAATAAATATTTTTATAGAATAAATAAATTTTTTTTTTTTAATAATTTACAATAGCATTAAAAAAAAATCGAACGGTTATGTTTTCATTACGTAAAACTTTATTAAAAAAAAAAAAAGTGACAGCAATTGACAACCCGGGGAGGGGGAGGGGGGTGGATTTTCGAATCTCACACGAATCTCTCTTTTTTTTTTTTATGCGAGCCGAATCAAATTTGAAAAATTTAAATCTTAATCGTCTTTAATAATGTCGACAATTAGACCGAATAAAAAAAAAAAAAAAAACTTTTGCTTAACTCATTATTATTATTATTTTTTTTACATAATAATAAATGATTCATTTCCTCAAATTGTTCTGGTTCATTTAAGCACGTGTGTGTGTGTGTTTGTGTGTGTGCGTGCGTGCGCGTGCGCGTGTACATTTGCGTCTAAACGAAAAAAATAAACGGGGGGTTTTAGATTTATTGAAATTTTAATTTTATTTAATACGGTTTTTACACGCTACGTAAAATTATAATTATTATAATTATTATTATTATTATTGTTTATGTTTTTGTTTGTTTGTTTGTTTGTTTGTAGAGTCGAGTACATAATTATCAGAATACAATAACGAAATTGGGTCAAGAAAACGATTCGCTTAAACAACAAGTTCGATTGCTTGGCACGACGACGGAAACGGAATCATTACCGGATGCCATATTAGATCGTTTAAAATCTCTCGAAACGGAAAATGCGTATCTGTCGCAAGATTCGGATTTTCAAAGGAAACAATATGAAAAATGTTTGGACGACATTGCCAATCAAGTTGTGAGGGCGCTTTTGTCGCAAAAAAATCTAAGGGAAGAAATAACGAATTTACAAAGGAGAATAAAAGAATTGGAAAATCAAAATCACGCTTTGGCAAATATTTTAGTTAATAAATTAGATGATAAAAATCCCGTTTTCGCTTTGCCCCCTTCTACCGATGGCGGTCAATGTCATGGCGATGATGATGATAATAATGTGTTGTCGTCGCCGTCGTCGTCGTCCTGGTTTCCGGGTACGTTTTCATCGGAAAAACGTACTGTTAGCCCGTTTCCGGATTGCGGTGAAAATTCCTCGTTTTCGTCTCCTTTTCTTCTTCATTCTTCCACGAGTAATTCGGATGAAAGGAAACGTTTCCGTTTTAGCGATTTCGGTGATATGAGAAGTAAAAATATATTGAAAAGCCTTAATTCGATTGAATCTTTAGTTGTTGTTCCTCTTCAAAGGCCCCGTTCTTTAAATCTTCATTTTCAAAATGGTTCGAAAGGTTTGTCGGGACTCAATTCGACCGTCACGAATAAAAGATGCCAACATAAGAAAAATAAATTCAATTCGGGTAAGCACCATGTGACGTAATAAATTTTTATTTTCCGTTAAAAAAAAAAATTTAATTAATTTTTTTTTTGTTGACAGTTGCTTTGATAAAAAATACGGGAGAAGATGAAGGACACGAAAGTCCAGAAAGCGGAAATAGAGACGAAGGATATTCTACAATGTCAAGTGATATACAGGGACCAGGAGAAACAAGTGACTTATCGAAAAGAGAATTGGAAGATTTGAAAGAAGCTTCCGATGAAACGGATGTCATTTTAGATACGAATCGCGAAGTGACATCCATTGTTGTCGTAGAAGATGCCGCTTCCGATCCAGATATGTATTTCATTCCCCTCAATCTTTCTGTGTCCATCAATCCAAGGCACAGTTATCCTCCTCATAAAGACTTTCTTCCGTTTCAACACGCCATGAGAAGTTTTTCGGATTCTCATCTTTTTTTAAAATTTACCGCCACGACTTCAATACCTTCTCCGTTGTCGCCTTCCATGTTTTTAGTCGATATCGTCGATAAGAATCATCCGTTGAGAAGAACAAAAGGCACGTCAAGTTTGCTGATAAGCAACAGAGAAGATTTCGAAGATACTTGCAGCAATGCCGGAAGTTGGTGTAGCGGAGTCGTTGAGGGTTGCTGGTGGGACGCCGAATACGTTCAACATTGGCTTAGGTTAGATGACAATCGATTAAAAGAACAACACCAAGAAGAAGAAGAAAAAGAAATTTTACAATTGGAATACGATCAAACCGAAATCGAAGAATGGAGCATGTCTTTATCCTGTGAAGATGTCGCCAAAACGTCAGATGTCGATACGACAAAATCTCGGAAAAATTTAAACGATATTCCTGAAAATGATTTATTAGTTCGAGCCGATGACGACGCGACAGAATGGAACCATTGCGACTCTAATAATCTCATAATTAACACGAAAAGAGAAGAATCCAACTGGTCGTACGATACGAATAACATGGATGAAAACTTGGCGTGGCAAGAAACATCTCCGGGTGGTAGTTGGTCAAGCGTTAACACCAACAATTCCGAAGAATGTTGTCAATCTTTAAACGACGCTTATTTCAATGGTAGTGAAAAAGAAGAAGAAGAAGATGGAGTTGATTCGAAACGTTCTTCGATTATCAGCGAGGATGCTGCTGAAGAGTCTTCCGCCGTAGGCACAGATTTTACAAGAGATTTTTATAGACTGGTCAAATTCGAAAGTACAAAAAGTTTAGCATCTAATTCATCAAAAAGCAATACAAACTGCCAAACAAATACAAACGATAAAAAACGAACAGGGTATATACAAGAAAGAGAAATGGCTTTGCAAAGCGTTCTTAGTTTTATTGCCGAACAACAAAGGTACTGCCATAAAAGAGAAGTCGAAGATGATGATGACGTCGACGTCGACGTCGACGATCCACGACTATCCATTGTAAAATCACCGTCGGACGAAACTATAAAAAAAACGATGGAATGCCATAGTTCTTCTTCCACGACGAATCAAGACTGTTTACGTGACGTAAGTGATGATGAAAAGGTTATCGAAATTAACATACAAGAATTAAAATCTCAAAAAATATATTCAACGGATGATTATTCGGGTATTGATGGATTAAACGTGGGACAATCATGTGAAAATCATGTTTCATGTTCGAACGTGGAACGTGATAGTAATTTACTAGTTAATAATAGTGAATCGGAATATAAAAAATCAATAGAAAATAAAAGGACTAGTTTCGGTTTACAAAAGCAAAGGCACAGATCTTTGGAAAAACAAGAAACGACGACAAAAGTTCCTGTGAGAAATACGAGATCGGCAAGTCTCACGTCGAACACTTCGAAAAATGATAAAATTCCAAGACTGGAAAATTTGATAAATAAAAGTTTAGTGATAAAAAAATCTCGTCAATCTTTTCACGATAACGTCCAGAACGTGGAATCTCATAAAACTCCCTCATCGATCGATATCAAAAATCAATCACCTCAAAAAATTTCATCACAAAAAAATTCAATGAAATCACGGATCCCTTCGCAAATCCCCTCACCTGGTGGTAAACAACGTGAAACGGGAATTCCAATTTTAATAAAACCCGACAGGAATTTGGGAAATGTAAAAAAAACGTCAACAAAACCAACTATAACAAATTCTAAAATGAAAGGAACTAAAATTCCGATAATATTATCGAAAAAACAACAAACGGAATGTAAAACAATAACGAAACAACCACGACGACAACAACAGCAACAGCAACAGCAGGAAATTCATACGAAGGAAAAAGATAATCGAAGTAAAAATCACGAGTCGAACATACCAGTGTTAAACGAAAGACGATCCGATTTAATAAAAACAACAAGGAAATCTTTGGAAACGTCAAACGAACCGGAAATCGGAAAACCTGTTATCATTCGTGGCACGTGTTGTTTCAACGATAAAGCCACGTCGAAAGACGTTATCGAAGAATTAAATAAAATGATAAGAAAAAGCGATGAAATAACACCGAACAACAACAAGAGTCAGGGAGATATAAAACCTCTTGATGTGTCTTGCTGTTGTCCCACCGGTTGGGTCCACGTCGAAAGAGGAGATATTGATTTTGCTGATCCAAAGGTACGTTATAAAATAATAATTACACGTCAAATTTTTATCCACGTCGACAATGTAAACAAACAAAACATTTTTTGTTTGTTATTGAATTTTTTTATTTTTTTATTTTTTAATAATAATAATAATAATTTATTTTCTAGGCAAGAGCTAATTTATTAGATGTTATGTTGGCATCGAGTGGTAGTTCAGAAGTTAGTGAAACTAGTAGCAGGAGTAGTAGCACATCCGATACCGGAAGTAATAGCGATAGCGTCGAAGAAGAAGAGGAAGAGGAACCCGTAGATTATACTCATTTACACAGATTACACAGGATTAGACGACAGAGAAAAGGTAATCAATCAATCAATCGAATGTTTATTCAAGTTTTTTTCCTTTTCTCATTTTCTTCTTTTTCTCACTATTCCACCTCTTCTCCAGGAAAACTTTGACTTTTTACTTTTAATGTTGCAGCAGCATCTGCAACGAGAAAACAATCGGGAGTTCTTCGTTATTCTTTGTCTTCTTCCGTTCGTCCCTCGATCATTGGACGTGAGAATTTTTTCGTCCGTTACGGAGATAAAGAAAAAGAAGCAGTTGCAAGTTTTGATTTTTTGGAAGATTTGTCAACGACTTCCGTGAGCGAACGATCGTCCTCAGATAGTTTAGGTCAGCTATTTAGATGTTAAATAGTCGTGGTCTGTCTTATTAACGGTTAATATATCAACATCGAACGTAGGAAAGAACCGAAATTTTTTTTAATAAGTAAAAAAGTAATTTTTTTTTTCTTTTTTTCATTCATTCAATTCTCCCCAATCTGAGTTAACGTAAATCAATCAATCAATCAATTAATCAATCGGTCGATCGATTTGAAAACGATTTCAATCTTTCGCATACTCCCCCTCTCCCCCCGACGCCTTTATTTTCGTACTCTGTTGATGATGCTGCTGTTTTCTTCTCCAGCGCTTTTCTTTTCCGAACACCGTTTTTAAAATCTTTTTCATTCTTTTCCAGGTTCGGATCAAAGCATTTACTTGAAATCGGATAACAGTAATCCGACGGATGTAGATTTTCATTCATCGGAAATAGAATTAATAGAAACACCATTGACACCAACGTCACTGATAACACCAAGCGATGATAGCGAAGAAAGAAGTGGAGAATTGGTATCACTCAGCGATTCTTGCGCCGACAGCTTTTCCGAATCCGTGGGAAGTTTTGATGAAACGACCAACAACGTCGGAAATTTTTTTTATATAATGAAAAACTTTAAAACATCAACTTAAATTTTCTTTATGTTTTTTTTTTAATAAATTCCATTTTACAGTATTCGTATATGCATATATTATACGTTATTATTATTATTATTATTAATTTTTTTGATTTTCACCGAAAGGTTACTACAATTAAGTATAAAAAAGGCTCAAATACTGGAGGAAAAAAAAACAATAAATTAAAGTGCAATTTACACTATTCGATATGCAATAAAAAAAATGTCAATAATAATAATAATAATGATAATAAATGATAATTCAAAATAATAATAATAATGTTTATTACGTAATTTTTTATTTAATTAATTTATTATTTATAATATTGTGTAAAAAAAAAATAAATAAATAAATAAATATTTAATAATTACGATTTGATAATTTTTTTTTTTTTTATTATTATTGGGTTGGTAAAAATTCCATCTTTGTCCATTGGCTGTTGTTTTTGTTTTTGTTTACATTTTTCGGTGTTGTTATTGTTTTTGTTTACGTTTTTTGGTAAAATACGTTAAAATGTATCAACCAATCATAAGAAAATGGAGGTGTACATTTAAAATCAGGTGTAAGGAGATTTTATATTTAATAAATCAATAAATAAATAAAAAATTGATTTTTAATACATTTATTTATAATAAAGTTATAAACACTTTACAATTTATACTGCATCAAATTTTTTTTCTTTTATTTTTTTTTAATGCGTAATTTTTATTATTATTATTAAAAAAAAAAAAGAATCAGTAAATTAATAAAATAAATCTTCAGGAAAAATTATTTGCTTCGATCGATCGAATTACAATGGCATGGCTCCCAGTGCTCCCACGATGACCGGAGTAGTTTCTGTTTTCGTTCTCCACAATCTGGCTTCTGTCGGCTTCTTTGGCTGTCTCGTGTTTTTTTCTGCCGGCACGGATACTTCAATCAGCTTACAGCGCATTATGCTTCAGGATGATATCCGGTTTGTTGGCTGGTATGGATGTCGGTGTGGATTTGTTGATTATACAGAACTGCGCACGGACCTCTTTTTTTTTTTTTTTTTTTTGATATCTCAGGAGAAATGCAGATTACGCACAACCCCTCCGAAGAGGGAGTGTGGGGCTCGGTATGGGATTCGAAAGAAGACCTAACCGAGAACCATACCCACTAAAACTCCTGAGCATGTCGCAATACCGTGGCTTATATGAAGAGGAGGGGGGACGTTCGTTGGGGTAGTACCTACATTTCAGTCAGTCCCCTCTCCGGGAAGCCAGAACGTTACCGTTCTACACGATTACTTTGGTGGGAGATTCGCCCTAGTCTCCGTTCCGCCGTCACCTCGAAGATGAGAACGCATTTCTCAGGACGTTCGGCAAGTCCCTTTCGGGAGTGTCCTCCGGTCCTTCGCTAGGGGGGGAAGGGATGGGAAACTCGCCTGTTTCCTGAGATTGGGATCGGATGGGGGATAAAAACTTGTTAGTTGATCGCATCCTCTAATACACGGGTAAACGGGATTGTGGGGGAAAGACAGACGAGAGGTCGTCCGGGATTGACGAACGCCCAAGAAATGTTAGAAGTAAAAGAATTTGACTTACCGGCGACGAAGCTAAGTTCGTCGCCGTACTGCACGGTTTGATCAGGCGTTGATGTTTTCTTCTTCACCACCGCTGCCGCCGTTATTTTGCTTCTTTTTTCCCCTTCTTCCCTGGAGTGCGCGACGCCGAACTTCGGTTTTTTCTCGTTCGCGTTCGCGGTCCTCTTTCGTCCGTAGGACCGATTTCGAAAATCGCGAGATCGCGGACCATTCCCGAGGTCCGCGGAGCAACCCGTTCACTAAACCGTGTATCGACAAGTCGGGCCCGATGTCCTCGACCAGCCGCTGCCTATGGACGTCCCACGTGGGACATATCGCGATCGTGTGCTCGACGTTGTCCTCGGGCGCACCGCAGAACCAACACTCCGCGTCCTCTCTGCCGATGCGCGCCAAGTACGAGCCGAACACGCCGTGACCCGTGAGGACCTGGGCGAGACGATAGGTCAAGTTTCCGTGACCCGCCCCACCCATTCCCCCACTCGGGGGCCGAGAATGTTAACGATTCCCCCC